AACATAAGCAAAACCCAAAAATGAAATCGCTATTCATACATTTGTTCAGAAACTTACCTTTCTATTGGGTCTTCAAGTATAACCTTGTCCCCAAAATGTATGATCTAGTCATAAAGGGGTAATTAGAAAAGGTCCATGAGATGATAAATAAAAAGAAAAATAATTAAGAATTGACCATAGAATCCACAGAGACAACAACTTGGAGGAAGATTACTCAGCAAAAAACACCTTTTAATCAAATTGAAATCACAAATTAGAGGCAAGTCTAATCAAAGGCATATTTTTCTCCAAGTGGAGAACAAATTAGAGGTCCAAAATCACCAAATCATGAGAGAAAAAAAAATACAAATTCCAGAAAGCGAACACTACCTCAAATTCGCCAAACGAATGTATCCTGTCCATAATTTGTCCCATGGGAGCTGAGAAAACCTACAAATCCACACGAGCAACCACTATAAGCGAGACAACAGAGTGAAATATAAGAAAAAACCTCGCCTGAGTAACAGATTCAAACAAAACCATCGCAATCTGTTCGTCGGAGCAAAGAAAAACGCGAAATACGAGCACGACGAAAGGAAACAAAACCTCGGGGCCGCATTTCACCTTCTTTTCCATGACGCAGACTCCAATCGTTATCTTCTTATCAGCGCCAGCTCCGTCTTCTTCCATCCCCATTTCTCTCGCTATACACCTCTCTCCCGATACGTACGGTACCTCTTTCCGGTTTTGTTCCTCGATTTTACACAACGACGCTCTCTCGCTCTCCTTCTGAAATCATACGATTCACAAAAACACAACGATCGTTTCAAAATCTACCAAAGGAGAAAGTAGGAAACAGAGACTAAATCGCTTGGGTTTCGAGCAATCTGGGAATCATGGCCGCGACTAACAAAAAGGATCAGAGAGGGATAAGAAGAAACAGGTAGAGCATAACATGAGAGAGCAATGCGAGATCTCTCACACAGGGAGAACAAGTCGAGGAGAGACGTTACTGGGGGAAGCGATGATCACAATTCACACACAAGCAGAGCAGATTAGCTAGCTAGCCGATAGTGCGGTAATGGGCACGAGGACAGAGAGAGAAGATTCAGGCGTCAGGGGCGTTCTCCCTTTTGAATCGAATTATAAAATTAAAATTGATTTTTAAGCATTATTCATTAATATAGTTTTTGGCTTCCTTTTAAAATACAAATAAAAATCTAGTGTTATTAATAATTTAATTAGTCACCGACCCACACCACTAGACGAAAGTAATTAAAAAATATTTTAATTAGTGGATACATAATGAATATCCCACACGGTTCGTTTTAGGAAAGTTTATTAATCGTGATTACACCCTTATCGTTATGTACGTATCCACTATTAAATTCATAAAGTCGCTAGTAAAAATATACACAATGTCTATAATGAGTAAGTCAATAAAACGCGTTTTAAATTTTCAGGTGATCGAAATGGTCCATGTGTATCAATGTATGTAGCCTATCATGTGTATATTTTTTTTTTTACAAAGTATATCATAGAAAGAGCAAATGTTATATCACAATAAAGAGTTCATATTATATTTGTGTTTTAATATAAGCTAGAGACATCTGTATGTTGGCCGAAGCTAAATTCTGAAGTAGTGTCCAGTAATTATTTTTATTAGTTTTCAAAATGATAACAGTACAAAATATTGAAAGCGAAATGAATATGTATGCAACCCATAAATGGTTGTTTATTAAGTACTGTAAATAGGAGATGCTCAAAAGAATAATTTTGATTAAGAGATGCTCAAAAGAAGAATATTGTATAATCCATCTCTGTTTACCGACTCAACTTTTATTAACCATCCCACATATGAAGCTTTCCGCTTAGCAAAAACTTGCATACATATATCTTCAGACCAACAAAAATAAGTTGATATGTTGACAAGCAATTTTTTAAAAATCATCAACCGTTTCCCTAACTATTTTGACATTATTTACACTTTATGGTAAACTCGTACCATATTCTAAATTGTAACTAATACCATCACTGATCATATGTTTTTTAGATTGCTTTACCTGAAAAGCTTTAAAAGTAATAACAATGATAAATGAAATAAAAATTCCGCGATTCAAATATCTCATTCTTCATTCTCCGCCTTCTTGCTTCACTCTGTTCCTTATAAATACTCTGTTTCAATATTATTTTTTTGCCCACACTCAACAAACAAACAGAAAAAAAAAAGAAAACAAACTAAACCAGAACCTCCGATGACGGCGACTAACAAACTCGTTCTCTTCTTGATTCTCACATCAGTCATCATCTTGATGACATCGCAAGGCACTTCCGGCGTAAAAGACGGCGATAAGATCGAACCATGCCCCGCTTGCAGGTATCAACGCCGTAGTTGCAAACCGGACTGTATCTTTCGTCTCTATCTTCCGTCGAATCGGCGTCAAGACTTCTTAAATGTTCACCGTCTATTTGGCATCCGCAATGTCAAAAATTTGTTCAAAAAAACGCCTCTGGAGTTACGAGGAGATGCAATGAAATCGATCGTATACCAATCCAACGTGCGCTCTCGCTTCCCCTCCCATGGCTGTGTCCACGTCATTCGCCATCTCCTATATCAAATCAAACTCGTCGCCGATGAACTTGCTGCCACCCGTACTCAACTCTCCGCAGCCGCCGTCAGCTTCGTTAATCCCACCGCCCCCGTCGACTCCTATGATCCCACCGCCACGACAAACAACGACGACTTCGCGAGAGGAGTTCCTGTAAACGATGGCACGATCGATCTCTTGTCCCGCGGAGGGCCTTATTGTGATATCCCATACGAGGAGCGTGAGACGAGGCCGTTAGAGAGAACTAACAACAGCGTCGACCAACTCCAACAGTTTCTTCTCAATGCGAACGATCTCGGTTCGATCCCCAACCCTGCAAATGACTTTGATTTTGGTGCCGTTCTTGAAACGTCGGAACAACGCGGTGGTGCTCCTTCTCGAGACCTGACGACGGCAAACAACCACGACGTCGCGAGAGGAGGTCATGTTAGCGATGGCACGATCGGTTTCTTGTCCGGCGGAGGGCAAGGTCGTAATATCAGATACGAGGAGTGTGTGACTGAGCCTGAGAAGAACAACAACAACGACGTCCAACAGATTATTCCCAATCCGAACGATCTTGCCGTCTCTCTGAGTGACTTTGATTTTGTTGCTGATCTTGAAGCGCTGGCTGCTGCACCTCCTAACGAGATAGAGTTTGATTATGTCTTTACTGATGCGGAAAGAGCTCTTTTCGGAATTGAAGATTCCGGCGACAAGTGGTACGTTTTCCGATTCCCTATTTTTATTATTTTTCCACTATTTATTAATTATACGATTCTTTTTTTCTTGTTTGCGTCAAGAACTTTTTAATTATAATGATTGAAACTTGAATTAAGTACAATGACATAGTTTTTATTCTTAAAAATATCATCTCCATTTTTCTTCTTGATTCAGTGGTTATGTATAGCCTATAATACTCTAATTATATAGAAATTAGGATTGCATGTATATTAAATTCATAGATAACGATAATGACTATTTGGGATGGCTAAATTCAATTAAATTAAGAGCATCGTATAAAAATTAAAATGTATTGTATGTGGAGTGTCTGATTAGTGATTACTGTTTTTTAGTTTTTTTTTCTTTTTCAGTTGGTAGTTGCCAGAGTGTAAATATTTATTTGATTAGTCGATAGAGTAATAAACCATATATATTATCTGATTAGAGCTATATAGTATTGCATTAGAAGAAAGAATTCGTGGGACCAAGAAGCTACACTTTTAGACTAAAATGGCATGTAACCAGATTATATGAATTTATAAATAGACGAATACCATATTATAGTGTTTTTGTACTAATGCTGTGTTTTTTTTTTCTTTTTAATTATCAATCAACAGTGCAGGTCAATCTTTGACCAAGGATGATGACTTCCCATTTCAGTAGATCTTTCCCACTTTGGGGATGAACCAGTCTTAACAGAGAAGAACATTTCTTTTGTACGTTTAAACTCTCTTATAGGAGTTCTCTTAATTCTCTTGTAGGCTCTTCTCCCCTTCTCAATATGTGTAATTAACAATATTTTTGTTACTATACGAAAAGTAAAAAAATAAAAGAAAAGAGAGAAGATTTAGACTTCCTGGATAGTTTATGCAACTTTCGTTTCAATATTTTTTCTTTGGTGCATTGGACTTTACATAGTTCTGTTACGTGTATGATCGATCTATCGAGCCAAAAAAAACCCCGTTTCAGTGTAAACGCAGAACACCTTCCAAATATAGCATAAATTACGAAAAAATCAATTTCATAATTTGGGATGTTAAAGCAACAGATGCATCTGATTTACTCGATCGATTTTTTTTTGTTTATCAGTTCTTGACTCAGCCCTTTCGTTGTTATTTAATGGCATCGACTTTACGATGTTTTCAATACGGGCTTTCATATATCTAAAGCCCATTTACATAAGCCTTACGTGTTTAAGGGATTAGCATCACTGATTAGTCAGCTAATTAGTCATCAAAAGAGTCAATACCTTTAATGGAAACAGAATCAACTTCAAAAGACCAATTAAATGCTCTTCATTCATTGACTTAAAACCTTTCCATACTCCTACTTAACAAACCAGTATACACACAGGTATTATTGTCAATGGTGAATGTTAAAAAATGGTCAATTGTTTTCCAATTATATATTTTTCAGAAGAAGAAAGTTGACTGGCAAAAAATTTAGAAAATAAAAATAAGATAAAAACAGATATATTTACATATAGAACACAATTGTTATTAAATTTTTGTAGATATATTGAAAATAAAATCATCATATAATAATAAAATAAAATCACATACATAAATAGGATAAAATATTTAGAGACATGATTACAAGGAGAGATACAAATGTATAATATATTTTTATTTTTGGCAGATGTGGAAACAAAAATGTTAATTTTATAAAAAAAGATTGAATTGAACATACAAAAAGAACAGACCAACAAACAAACAAAAACACACCAATTCTTCATCTTCTCCATTTCGTAATTCGTACACTTCACTCCCAAGTCCCTCTCTACCCACCACAACCACTGAAACCATCGATCTTTGAGAGATTCTGTAATTGATGAAATAGCTTCGAAGATGAAGAAGTTAAAGAGCTATTATATGCAAGTTCGTCACCAGCAACAATCTCTAGACCGGAGATGGATTCTTCCATTAGCGATTGGATCCATTTGTTCTCTCTTTCTCTTATTGCTCACGAACTTAGCTTCTTCTTCTAGTCAAACTCGTTTGATTCCTTTCTCTGTCTACGGCTTTAGATCCTCCTCCGTCTTCGTCGAATCCAAGATCAATCCATTATCCGTTTCAGTTTCCGTCTCCGTCTCTCCTCCGCCGCCGCCACGTCTCGCTTACCTCATCTCCGGTTCTTCCGGAGATGGCCAGATGCTCAAACGGACTTTAATGGCGCTTTACCACCCGAACAACCAGTACGTTGTTCATCTCGATCGGGAATCTTCACCGGCGGAACGATTGGATCTCAGTGGTTTTGTGGCGAATCAAACTCTGTTTCAGAGATTTCAAAATGTTCGAATGATTGTTAAGGCTAATTTCGTTACTTATCGTGGTCCGACTATGGTGGCTAATACGCTTCACGCTGCGGCGATTTTGCTTCGTGAAGGTGGAGATTGGGATTGGTTTATCAATCTCAGTGCTTCTGATTATCCTCTCGTAACTCAAGATGGTAACAGATTTTAGAACTTTAGCTTTAAAAATCTCTCGAACTCTGTTTATATTGTTTGATTTAATCATTTGTTGGGTTTATCCTGAATTCAACTCCAGATCTGTTGCATACGTTTTCGTATCTGCCTCGGGATCTCAATTTCATCGATCATACGAGCAACATTGGCTGGAAAGAGTAAGTGTAGTTAGGTAGCTACGAACTATGTACCACAACATTTCGTTTTTGACTTGTATGTTTCTGAGATTTTGGAATTACAAAAACTTGCAGGTCTCATCGAGCAAAGCCGATAATTATTGATCCTGGTTTGTATATGTCAAAGAAAGCAGATGTTTTCTGGGTTTCACAGAAGAGAAGTATGCCTACAGCTTTCAAACTCTTCACAGGTGATTCCATTTTTCATAGTCCTTCCAAGTTTTTGGGTAATGAACATATTGGGAAATTGTCTAATTGTGTAGGTGGCTTTTCCTTAAATTTAGGATCTTTGTAAGAACCATTGTTACACTCTTTTTTATTGTGTAAAATTTGATGTGATACAATACAACAGAGCTAATGGTTCGTTGATGTGGTTTAATAGGATCTGCGTGGATGATGTTGTCTAGACCATTTGTCGATTATTTCATATGGGGATGGGACAATCTTCCACGAATCATGTTAATGTACTATTCAAACTTCCTCTCCTCACCAGAAGGCTACTTCCACACCGTGATCTGCAACGCTCGAGAGTTTACCAACACAACAGTAAACAGTGACCTGCATTTCATCTCATGGGACAATCCTCCGAAGCAACATCCTCACCATCTCACACTCGATGATTTCCAGAGAATGGTGGACAGTAACGCTCCTTTCGCTAGAAAATTCCGTAGAGATGAGCCTGTTCTCGATAAGATTGATTCGGAACTCTTGTCGCGGAGTCACGGGATGGTCACTCCGGGTGGTTGGTGTATTGGTACGAGGGTAAACGGGAGCGATCCGTGTGCGGAGATTGGTGATACTTCGGTCATTAAACCTGGTCTTGGAGCTAAACGGGTCGAGAAACTCGTAACCTATTTGTTATCAACAGAGAATTTCAGACCACGGCAATGCAGGAGGTAATGGCAAATTAGAATTTGTCTGGCTACGTGGTTTTCTGACACAAATGAAGTGTGTGATGATGAACCAATACTCTGATGGTTGTATAGATAGATCTTTTTGTAATTTCTTACTTCCGGGAAAGTGACGAAATTTTCATGAAGAAAATTTGATTATTGAATTTGTTTTCTATTGCCGCCTTAAAGTTGGATCTTTTCCGGCATCTCTTATCCCTATTTTATAGGTTTGTCACAAATTAGTCATGTCCTTTGTTATTAGTATTTGTCATGATGAAATCACCAGACTAAAACATAGCTGGTTCATTGATATTATTGCTATTTAATTAATTTGATACATTATTCACATTAATATTGCTGTTTTAATTTAATAGATATACGATTATACCCATGTGACTATTGGCAAATTACACGAGGGCCTATTAATGGTCAATACTCGTTCCATGTGACTGAAAGTAGAGGCAAATAGCAAATACTTGGTTTAAATTTCACTTTATCAAATGTTTTGGAAGTAGATTTATACTAGTAAAAAGTGTATAAACGATTACAATGGCGTATTTTTTCTCATCAACTAATACCGTAACCAAAAAAAAAATTAAAAAATCTAAAATTTAATTTTTAACACAAAGAAAAAAGAGACAGATGAATGAATACTTAAAATAAGGCCTAACTACAGTCTTAGAAAAGCCCATTAGGGTATTATTATAGGCCCAAATAAGTTACGAGGAGACGACACCGTTTGGGCGCCTTTATTTATTGTCTTATTTGTCATACGTTGTGACCATGCTCTTTATCCTCATCGCAAAGTCACAACGCTTCATCGGATCTGCCTAGATTTTTCTTGTGTATGAACGAAGTGCTTCTTCTCGATTCTTCTCTCATTTCACTGATTTTGTTTCAATTCTCTTTCCATGCATGCATGTAATCTCTCTAACTATTAATCTTTTGTTTATTTCGGCAGCTAGCAATGAGTCGGTCTGTTGATTCAAGTGTGGCTTCAAACGAGTGAGTTCAATTTTCGATGTTCATCGTAACTTTATTGTTCTATTTCTCTTTTGAGTCTTCTAAATTATATGGGTTTCCTTCAACTTGTTGGTTAGTTTCCTAGGGTTCATGACTTATGTTGGTTATCGTGGGTTGTTTTGAATCGTAAGTCGTAACGATGGATATATTTTGATCTAATTTAGTTTAGAGAGAATTTGATAACGTTCTCAGAAGATTCATGTGACACTCTCTTAAGTACTAGTTCTTCTTCTGGCTTTGTGTGGCGAATTGCGGTTTTCTTGATGCATTGCATGTACAGGCCAGGATACGTTAGTCTCTAGTACTGGTCTTTGGGTTATAGATTGAATGCAATAGACTTGGTAACTTGAGCTTGTTTTGCTGCAGGCATGAAATCATAACAATAGTTCACGCTAGGGCATACGTTCGGGAAGTGAAAGAGACGTTTCATGATGATAAAAGTAGATATGCTATGTTCCTTACGATTATGAAGGAGGGGAAGGCACGTCGGTAAGATCCTGATTTTTACCATCTCCTCTTTTTTTTGCACTGAAATCGATCGTGATTGTATTGTTTCTTAGCCTCGACTGTTTAAAACTAATCAAGCATATTCTATACCTCTTTTCCTTAACAGTGATATCGCTACTGCGGTTGCTCGATTGAAGGAGTTGTTTCATGGATATCACAACTTAATCGTCGGAATTAACAAATTTTTGCCACCTCATCATTACATACGTCTTCAGGGTGATGATAATGAGGGAGAAGAGTCATTTGTATCCACTGCAGCATTCATCGAGGACACCAAATAGGGACATCAAAATCTCTCTCTCTCTCTCTCTCTCTCTCTCTCTCTCTCTCTCTCTCTCTCTCTCTCTCTATTCAGTTCTTGATGGATGTATCAAGTATGTTGCTTTGTAATCGATGAGCGAAGAGAAAATGATTGACTATAATACAGCTTTGATTTTTTTTTTTCTATCTTCTTTACGTACGGCCACTTAAATTAGGTCATGTTTAATTAACATCGTTTCAAATAGTTAAAGCATAAATTAGCTTACTGATCCTTATACAGTTTGCGTGATATATATAGTATATATTATATATACTTCTGCTCAGATAATTAAGATAATTAATATCGTTTAGTTGTTATACTATTGTTCAAGATTATTAAAAGAACAATCATAGCAGAAGTTATAGATACTTATCAAATGGTATACACAAATGGCATATCGTTGCAGTATATTTTTGCTCATCAGCTAATTCTGTAACAGATAAAGAATTAATTCATAATAATTAAGTTTGACATGTATTTTTTCATTTAGTTGATCACAAGACAAATACTAGTTTCCCAGTGTTCACATGTAATCATGTAATGAGGCATATAATTTCGGTGTTTTTGTGATTGCGGTCTTTTCGTAAAAAGACATGCTAAATTGTTCTAATAACTCGATAGAGGATTAAAGAAATTCATTTGAATTTTAAAATCACGATGAAAACATATAACCATAGATAATACAACGAAATAAACGCAACGCAAGTTTGAATAACACAAAAAAAAAAACACTGTAACTATAATAGTTTTTATGCAACCAGATGGTCCAGATCTTAGATCCATATAATATTTCACCTATGATAGATTTTATCCAAATCGTTTAGTCCTGCATATATATATATGGTTGCGGTTTGCTATATAGTTGAAGACTTAAAACAAAGAAAAAAACTATGAAAAAAGAAAAACAAAGAAAGAAAAACATGTTCCATATAGGAACTGTTAAAGTATGTCTTAATTTAATGGTCTTTAATTAGGTTATGGGATCGATGACAAATATTGGCGCAGACGTAGAGAAGAGAGAAGGCATGTTGCTGCTGCGTTTCTTGCGGAAGTGGAAGATACTTCTCATGATCAAAGGGATATATATATGTTATGTTCCATGGCATTTTATGGCAGTTGTGGGAACAAAGGTGAGATCTTGATTTTTATTATCTTGTATAGCATCAAAGATCTAAAACTAAGCAAGCCAGCTGCTGCTATGGTTGCTTTAACAATAATTGTATCTCTTAATTTGCGTTAACAGGATTGATAATTCTACTGAGGTTGCTCGAGGGAAGGAGTTCTTTAGTGGACGTACGCAGCAACTTGATCATCGGATTTAACACATTTTCGCCACCTGATTATAAAATAAGAATATTGAAGACGACGAGGAAGAAGAATGATGTATCTCCACCGTAAGAGACTATTGAAATTTCTTGTCATGTAAACATATGGTTTCAAAACAAACGGTGACATTAAAATCTCTACTTTAGTCTCTCTCTCCCTCTCTATTGATCAGTTCTTGATATTCTAACGAGTATGTTGCTTTTGTACGTAATCCATGAGGAAACGTTTGGATACAATAAATTTTGATAATCTTACGTCCATTTAAAATTTTGACATGAATTTTGATTTCGTTAGAAATAGAAAAGCACCAACTGATCCTTGTATAATTTAGGTGATACATATTAATTACTACTTAAATTTTGATTACTGTATTTAATTTTCAATGGAAAACAAATCTCTAAAATCTAACATGTGGATTTTATTCAAAAAATCATCGTAGCTTTTTTTTATCATCTCATTCATCGGTCACGGCATCATCGTAGCTTAAAAGTTTCAAAAGAAACATATTAGATATGATTTGGTTGTCAGTATATAAGTACATAATTATTTATGTTCCAAAACTCACTCACAGAGCCAGAGACCAAACTTGTAGCATTGCTTTATAATTCGAAAACCTACAATCAAAGTCTGAAAAAATTTCAAATGAATACTCAATAAAACTCTAAGTTTGGCCAACATCATTTGCTTGCAATATCTCGTTTCCCACCTAACCTTTCATCTGTTTGTATATTCCAGAAACAATGGTTCTAGCTGGGTCTCACGATAAATTAGGCTTAACATCGGTTTAAAAAGCCCATTAGAATTATTATAGGCCCAAAGAAGTTACGAAGAGACGGCACCGTTTGGCGCTTTTTATTTATATTTTGTTCGTCGTCCGTTGAGACCGACCGTGCTCTTTATCATCATCGCAAGTCGCAACGCTTCATCGCTGTATTTCGTTTCCCTTATCTTCTCTAATTTTTATTTGTTTGTTTCGGCAGCAATGAGTCGGACTGGTGATTCAAGTGTGGCTTCAAACGTATTGTGAGTTCTCTTTTCATTGTTCATGGTTTGAACATGCATGTAACTCTCTCTAAACTAGTTCTTCTTTTGGCTTGTGGCGAATTGTTGTTTTCTTGATGTATTGCATGCATGTACCGGAATACGTTAGTCTCTACTGGTCTTTGGGTTATGGATTAATTGATAGTAATTGATTTGGTAACATGAGCTTGTTTGCTACAGGCATGGAAGCAGCGCATTGATGAGTAAAGCTTTGTCATATCTTCGGGAAGTGAGAGAGACGTTTTATGATCAAACCTACAAACATGACATGTTTCTTAAGATTTTGAAAGATGACTGGGAACAACGTCGGTATGATCCTGATTTTTTTTTTATTACCCTTTTTTATTATAAATTGAAATCGGGATTGTATTTTTTGTTAAAATCAAAGGTTTATAACCAACTAATCATGGTGAGCTTGGCTTATATCGAAAGTAACATATTCTACCTCTTTTCATTAACAGTGATACTTCCGAGACGGTTGCTCAAGTGAAGGAGTTGTTTAAAGGATATAACAACTTAATCACTGGATTTAACAATTTTTTGCCACCTGAGCATAAAATACCTCTTGAAGATGAGCCAAAAATACCACTTGATGAAGAGAAAGAAAGACCTCTTGAGGATGAAGATGAGGAAGAAACCTCATTTATATCAACTGCAAGAGACTATTGAAATATCTTGTCATGAAGGACACATGCATACATGGTTATTTTTAAAAAAGTACATCAAAATCTTCACATTAGTCTCTCTCTATTCAGTTCTTGATGGATGTATCGAGTATATTGCTTTGTAACCATGAGCAAACATTACTACAATAAAGGTGGATCTTTTTTTTTTTTTTCTATACGGCTATTTAAATTTTGCCATGCATGACTTTAATAAACATCTTTACGAATAGGAAATGGAATAATTAGTTAATTGATCTTTATAAACATGATACAGTATATATTTTTCATTAATTATGCGCAGATATTGTTTAGTTGTTATACTATTTTTCAAGATTATATATATATATATATATATTACTTATGCTCTGAAGAACATGTTAAATGAATTAATATAACAACTGCGGAAGTTAAATCCTTATCAAATGTATAAAAAGTAAAAATGGCACAATTGTATATAAACGTTTACAATGGCATAAAATCATCTATTAATATTGTAACAAATAAATAATCAACAATAAGCTTGATATATATACCTTTCATTTAGTTGATCATAAGACAAATTCTTTTTCTTTGGAGAGTGTACTGTGTAGATGTTAACATGTAATGGGCACCTCGTTTGGTGCAGTCGTAGAGAAGAAAGAAGGGATGCTGCTGCTGCATTTCTTGCGGAAGTGGAAGATACGTTTCATGATCAAAGGGACAAATATGTTATGTTCCTTCGCAATATGGCAGATTTGTGGGAACAAAGGTGAGATCCTGATTCTCATCATCTTTGTTGAGGTTGACTGTAGAAAGAAACAATAATTGGATTCATAATTCTACTGCGGTTGCTCGAGGGAAGGAGTTGTTTGATGGACGAAGCAACTTGATCATCGGATTTAACACATTTTTGCCAACTGATTATAAAATAACTACTGAAGACGATGGGGAAGAAGGATCATGTAGCTCCACCGCAAGAGGTTATTGAAATTTCTTGTCATGAAGGGCACATGCTTTTATTCAAATGGTGACATCAAAATCACATTAGTAGTCACCCGCTCTATGCATCAGTTCTTGATGGTCTTATAGAGCGTGTTGCTTTACAAATTATAACCCACATGAGGAAACCTTTGACTACAATAAAGTTTGACTTTGTCCCTCTTACTACAAAAAAAAAAAAAATTAGTCTCATGAATAGTAAAACCATTATTAACTTATCCTTACATAACTTATTTATTTATTTAGGTGATACATATTACTACTTAACTCATTTCGTAAGTCTTAATGAAAAACAAAACTCTAAAGTTTGATAATGTTGGTTAATCCAAAATATCGTCATAGCAAAAGTTTCGTTGGTTCGTTATTTTGTTTTGAATTTGCTCTAATCGTTCGTCATCACATTGAATCCGCTTAGAATTTTCAGTGACGGGAGTGTTTCTTCTTGTTTCAGCCCTCTAAATACGAAGAACCGAGTGATTTGTTTCAAATCGTTTGGATTCAATAAGACTCTGATTTGTTTCATATCGTTTAATCATCATTTATCCCTATATTGATAAAAGGAATAGAATATACGTTTCAAGAATGAAAAGGATAAATATGATAAGTTCTTTAAGGACCTGAAAACGTTCTTAATTCAGCCCTAAATTCATTCTAAAGGGACATCACTATTTTCATTTCTATCGTTAATCAGCATTTTTGCCACCTTAATTTGAAGAAGAAACTCTTGATGACGAGGAAAAAGAAGCTAAAAGCAACTCACACCACACGGGACAGACTCTTGAATTAGAATAAGACACTGAAAAAATGGTATCTGTGCACTTACCAAGGGTACAGGGTTTTACAAGAATGGACTGGCGAGTACAGAAGTTACATACTATTAGTAACAACATAATGAAAATTTTGATAGTATAATCACCGACAGGTCCTTGCATCATTAATGGAGCTCAAAATAATATGGTGAAACTTTTAAGTTTTTATTCTTTCATAACATTTTGCCTCCCCAAGTTTTTTAATTCTTTGATAACCTTTTTGCCTCTTTACCATGATCATCCTGGTCATATCCTTACAATTCTCAAATCAGGAGGGTTCAGTAATTAGTGTAACAATCCAAAAGAACATATGTTACTTCTGCTCAGTTTGTATGAATATTTATTCTCATAGATTATACTAAAATAATCTCTGAAGTCTGACATGTGAATTTGATTCAAAAAGATCATCATAGCAGAAGTTTCCAATACAAACAAGTACCAAAAATTGTTTTGAAAACAAATAAAGATTAGGCTCTCATTAAGTCAAAAATGATTTATCCTTCATAAATATCAGAATAGCGTATACTGCCAATTAGGCAAAGTAATCACAGAGCCAAAAAAAAACAAAACAAAAACTTGGGGACAAAACTAAAGAGATCAGAGTTGGTTAAGAATTCTCGGTCACGGTTAATCTGAAACACGGACCAATAAGTTGCTCATCACATCTCTATCATCCTATAACCACAAAAACCAAATCTATAAGAGAGTCCAGGAAAAACACTACAAGATCATCAGAGACTTAAATACTAAGAATCATATAGATTATCTCCATCATATTGTTGCAGTATTAACTCATCAACTGATCTTACAAAACAAAAGAAAACACCGAATCAAAGAACTGAAAACACACACAAAAGAAAGAAGAAGATGAATGTAACCTAAAGAACGGTGATGTCTGTGAAGCTCTAGTGTTATCTCCTCTTTATATATCTTTGTCGGCGGATAAGCCCTAATTACACAACCGAATATACTTAATGGGCCTAATCTCGGCCTTTTTAGTAAACTCGTTATAATTTTGAAGGCCCAAACAAAAAAAAGGAAAAAACACATTATTTGTTTTGGGTGCTGCTGCTAATTACAAACAAACAACTGAAGAAGAAAGGGTGCTGCCGGGAGTCCCGATTTTTATTCCGTCATTGTCTTCTTCATTATTCGAAATTTCCTCTCTCTCTTTTTCTCAGTCGTTGCATAAAAAACACTTTCTCTCTTCATTGCTTCTAATTTCACTCTGTTTTTGTTCATCGGAATTCTTCTTTCGTGGTTGACACAATCTGGGGATTTTAGAGTTTCGCCGGAATTTGATCGGCACTGTTTCTTCTCGATTCTACTCTTACTTAAGAGAGAGAGAGAGATCTAAGTTAATTGATTAATCTCTTCCTGGAGTCTTATCTCTGGGAAATCTGGAGCGGAACTAAGTAGGTTTCTTCAACTTCATCTGAATTTTCCTTTTTCTTTCTTCTTCTTCTTCTTATTATAATTATTATTAGTAATGGAGTTTCTAATTTGGGATTTTTGCGTTTACCTTCTCGGTTTCTATTAACTTGAGGTTTTCAATTTTTGTTTTGTACCTAATTGATGATCTTTTGTGTTTTTTTTCTGTGTTCTTCACTCCTGGACAGCAATGAAGCGGATTAGGGATGATATTTACGCAACCGGGTCTCAGTTTAAACGTCCTTTGGGGTCTTCTCGTGGCGAATCGTGAGTTCCCTTTTCCCTGACTTGGAATTTCAAATCTCTTACTAATGAGAGCTATCATGTATGTGGTTTTCAGTGTTTGTGATGTTTGATTCCTTTCAAAAATTCTTTGGATTTCTACTTGAACTGGTCAGCTTACTAGTCTTCATTTCCCAGTTTTGTGAATTATTAGATTTAGTTGGTGGTCATAGGCTGGATCTTCTTGTTGCGTGTTTATTTAAGCCCATGCAATGTTCTGACATTTATATCTGGCAAGTCTAATTTTTGTTCAAGACTATTGATTTCTGTGTAGAGAATGTGCAGGGAACTAGCTCTTATTGTCTTTATTGATTTCTGGGTTAAGTGGTTAACCAACTTGTTGTTTGAACGTAAATGATTAGAGCTTGTTTTTCGCAGATATGGGCAACCTCCAATACCTGGAAATGGTGGGACTGGAGGAGGGATCATTGACGACGGGGAAATTAATGCTCAGAAACTGACAACCGACGATGCTTTGACGTACTTAAAAGAAGTAAAGGAGATGTTTCAAGATCAAAGGGACAAATATGATATGTTCCTTGAGGTTATGAAAGACTTCAAGGCGCAAAGGTTAGAACTTTCTTTTCTATCAATTGCTTTTTTTTAGCCTGATGATGCATCTTGAAACATTCTTCATCTTGCATTTACAGGACCGATACATCTGGTGTGATTGCACGAGTGAAGGAGTTGTTTAAGGGGCATAACAATTTGATTTTCGGCTTTAATACCTTTTTGCCAAAGGGGTTTGAAATAACACTTGATGAAGAAGAAGAAGAAGCTCCACCAAAGAAAACTGTTGAATTTGAAGAAGCCATAAGTTTTGTAAATAAAATTAAGGTCAAAGGGAAATTTTCTCGTATATTTTTTATCATTTAAAGTGCCCTCACACCTAGTGTCTCACTATATCCTTGTCTTTCTCATCACTGCAGAAACGGTTCCAGCACGATGAATTTGTCTATAAGTCTTTCCTGGATATCTTAAATATGTATCGGAAGGATAATAAGGACATCACTGAGGTTTACAGTGAGGTAATATCACGCTGAAGTGACTATATCTTTCCTATACTTTCACATTGAAGTTTCTCAATATTTTATTGCTCTTATATCTGTTTGTTAGGTTTCAACTCTTTTTGAGGACCACTCGGATTTGCTCGAAGAATTTACTAGGTTTTTGCCAGACTCGTTGGCCCCTCATACAGCAGCCCAGTTACTCCGGAGTCAGGCCCAACGGTATGATGACCAAGGATCTGGCCCTCCTCTTGTGCGTAGAATGTTTGTAGAGAAGGTATGGTATTGTTTACATATGTTCCGGGCTCTATAATTGTTGTCATGTCTCTCTTTTCTGCGCTGATACGTTTTCCATCATCAGGATCGTCGACGAGAAAGGTCTGTTGCTTCTCGGGGTGACCGTGATCATAGTGTTGACCGTTCTGACCTTAATGATGATAAAGCAATGGTTAAGATGCACAGAGATCAGAGGAAACGTGTTGATAAGGATAATAGAGAAAGGAGAAGCCGTGATTTGGAAGATGGAGAAGCAGAGCAAGATAACTTGCACCATATTTCAGAAAAAAGAAAGTCATCTAGAAGAACTGAGGGTTTTGAAGCTTATTCTGGTCCTGCTTCGAATTCTGAGAAAAACAATCTAAAGAGTAAGCGAATTTTTAGTTATGAAATATGGAGAACCAATAACTCTTCTGTTTCCAGGGCTCCAAAATTTCAGTGCTCTATAAAGGAATTTAAATGACATGCACATGCTACAACATCTCTACGTTACCATCATGTCCAATATATAAGCTGATGGATTGTTAGATATTTAAATTATTTGAAAGTAAAATGTTGATTTTCTAATTTTTTGGTCAACAGGTATGTTCTGGTGCAGCTAGTTTTCTTCTGTTTGCTGACACTTTTTTTTTTTTTGGTATGTACTTTAACTGTGTTAGGCATGTACAATCAAGCATTTGTGTTTTGTGAGAAAGTTAAGGAGAGTTTATGCAGCCAAGATGATTAATAGAGATGCATGAAGAGTGTTTAGAAGTGTGGAGAAAGACTTGTTGAAATTGGGTTCAGAATATGCTAAGAATTTGGAAACATTGCGTTGAACCACTAAATGGCTTGTCTAATGTTGTTTGGGGTTATAATATGTTAGAATACAATAAATTTTATTAATTACAAGTGCTAGATGAGTTCAATCAGTTCTTCGAACGTTGTGAGAGTATTGGTATTTATGATTACCTACATTCTTTTTACTAAATATGTTGTCTAGCTGTTTCTAATCATTATCCTTTTCGCAGATGGTTTCCAGCACCTTGCTGGTATTATGAGCAAAAGTATGCAACTGTGTCTTACCTTCTTGTCTATATGTATGCATATCTCTTGGCTTTCTACGTTATAGGAATATTACTAATACTGCTTGGTACACTTGCTGCAGAATCACTTAGCAGTGAAGAACATTTATCTAGGTCAATGAAGGGGGAGGAAAAAGAAAGAGAACACAAACGTGACCTTGAGGCTGCTAAGGAAAAGGAGCGATCCAAGGACAAGTACATGGGGAAATCTATTCAAGAGCTTGATCTATCTGATTGTGAGCGTTGCACTCCTAGCTACCGGCTCCTCCCTCCCGATGTAATAAGATTTTCAGAGTTCTATATTGTATCTGTTTCATTTGAAATGTACTTACTATTATACCTTATTTGCAGTATCCAACACCGTCGGTGCGCCACAGACAAAAGTCAGGAGCTGCTGTGTTAAATGATCACTGGGTTTCTGTCACTTCAGGAAGTGAAGACTACTCTTTTAAACACATGCGCAGAAACCAGTATGAAGAGAGCTTGTTTAGATGTGAAGATGATAGGTACGTTTATAAGAAGTATTACTCATATGATAGCTTTTGTAGTGTAAAGTAATTTGTATGTTATGATTGTTATTTACTTGCTTCTTGATACAGATTTGAGTTAGATATGTTGTTGGAATCTGTGGGATCTGCTGCCAAAAGTACAGAAGAATTGTTAAATATCATCATTGAGAAGAAATTAAGTTTCGAGGGCTCCTTCCGGATTGAAGACCACTTCACAGGTCTGTAGGCGCTTATTTCCCTGGGATATATATAATTATGGTTCTCTCCTTTTCCATCTATCTTCCCTTATTTTTGAGCCCTCATCTTTTTGTCTTACACTTTCCATTTTCTTATGGACTTACTACAGCCCTAAATTTAAGGTGCATAGAGAGGCTTTATGGTGACCATGGTCTTGACGTGACAGACATAATACGTAAGAATCCAGCCTCTGCACTTCCTGTAATCCTGACTCGATTGAAGCAGAAACAAGAAGAATGGACAAAATGCCGGGAAGGTTTTAATGTGGTCTGGGCGGATGTGTATGCGAAAAACCATTACAAATCACTTGATCATCGGAGCTTCTATTTTAAGCAGCAAGATTCCAAGAACTTGAGTGCAAAAGGTAAGTAAACTCTTAGAACGTGTTCAGTGTATATAAGTAACCATTACGAATCTTCTTATTGCTTGCAATCATTCTATTCTTACATTTACTTAATGTTCTCATAAATTATATCTGATCCTTAATGAATTTCAGCGCTGGTGTCTGAAATCAAGGACTTGAAAGAGAAGTCTCAAAAAGAAGATGATATTCTTCTGTCTATATCTGCTGGTTACAGACAATCAATAATTCCTCAACTCAAGTATGAATATATCGACAGAACTATTCATGATGATCTGTTCAATCTAGTCCAATTTTCGTGTGAGGAGATATGTTCTTCAAAAGAGCAGATCAGTAAAGTCCTGAGGCTCTGGGTTAATTTCCTGGAGCTGATGCTTGGTGTTCCACCCAGGTCTAAGGGGACAGATTCTGTTGACGTAGTTGTAGAAACCAAGCATCACAGTGCATTTACCAGCAGGGAGGCTAATGTGAGTTCTGACGCGATAAGTATGGTTTCCAGGCAACGAAAATTGGCTGCTAATGGAGATGAGCACGCTTCTTCTGGGGTCTCCAAACATGGCGGGACTGGTTTGTTGAATAAGGATTCTTCAGGGAAAGAAAATTGTAAGGATGGTGATCCTGCTAATAAAGATGTTGCCACCTGTGCTGAAAAACCCCAAAAAGATCGAGAAATTGGAATTGGAGCTGATAAAAGATCTGGAGATGTTGATGAAAGAGTGGTCACGTCATGTGAAACTTTCCCAAGTGGGGTAGAAAACAGTAATGACAAAGTAAGAAGCGGTGATTTGTCAGGTATTTTCAGGATTGAACTTGAACTTTTTTTCTTCATACTGTTTGCAATATCTACCTTAACGTGTCAGCGCTTTACTTCTGTTGTCAAGGTTCACGAGGCGTTTTATCCACACCAAGTGAAGCTATAGATAAAGTTGATACCATTCAACGTACGCAGGTATGCAGTTTCGCACTTTAATTATATCTTCTTAATTATCTATTCTGCTTGTTTTAGTTCTTCTGATCATTCTCTTTGTTCCTGGCCATTTCTCTAGGGAGGTGATATTGCCAGAACTATAGTTTCAGCAAATGGACTGCAGTCAGGTGATTGTAAAGCTAAGAGTGATTATAATGACTCTGGTGGTCCAGCCAAAATTGAGAAGGAGGAAGGTGAATTATCACCTATTGGTGATTGCGAAGACAACTTTGTTGTTTATGAAGATCATGGTGTGAATACTACTGCCAAATCAGAACATTCAGTTGAAGCTGAAGGACAAAATGATGATGAGGATGGTGATGATGCTTCAGAAGCTGGTGAGGATGCGTCGGGGACGGAATCTATTGGTGACGAATGTTCACAGGAAGATAATGGCGTGGAGGAAGAGGGTGAGCATGACGAGATTGATGGCAAAGCTGAAAGTGAAGGAGAGGCAGAGGGAATAGAGTCACATCTTATAGAAGAAGACAAAGGGTTGTTTCCATCATCAGAACGACTTCTATTATCAGTTAAGCCTCTTTCAAAGCATGTGGCTGCAGCGGCTTTGCTTGACGAGAGAAATAAAGAATGCAGAGTTTTCTACGGGAATGAAGACTTTTATGTTCTTTTCAGGCTTCATCGAGTGAGTGCAATCGTTTCTTATTATTTGATTTATCAGATTGAAGTCTGACAACATATGTTCTACCTTGAAATTTTTTTCTAATTATTTTGAATTTTCCAGATCCTGTACGAGAGAATTTTGTCTGCAAAAACATATTGTACAGGAAGTGAAATGAAACTGCGAAACACGAAAGATACAAGTTCACCAGATCCTTATGCAAGGTAGATATTTTAACCTAATGGATGTGGATATAGAACTGGTCCACTACTTTTATGTCGACTATGCAAGTTATTTATTCAGTTCAGTAAAAAGAACTCAAAAACTCGTATTTGTATGTTCTGCAGGTTTATGAATGCGCTGTTTAGTCTGCTTAATGGCTCAGCTGATAATTCCAAGTTTGAGGATGAATGCCGAGCTATTATTGGAAACCAGTCATATGTTTTATTCACCCTGGAAAAATTGATATACAAATTGGTTAAACAGGTAATATACACATGATGTTATTGTATTTAGGCTGATAATTTTTACTTTTCAGCAATATATTCCTTTATAAATTCTAACTTCATTTTATCTGCTGCAGCTTCAAGCTGTTGTAGCTGACGATATGGACAATAAGCTTCTTCAGTTGTATGAGTATGAGAATTCCCGTAAACATGGGAGTGTAGTTGACTCGGTATATTATGAAAACGCCAGGATCCTCCTTCATGAGGATACTATTTATCGGTTGGAATGTGTAAGAACCCTAAACCATTTCTCACCTTTCTCCATCTCTTCGTTATTGAGGAATAATGAATGATTCATTGACCTGGAAACTTGATTTTCTGTGTTATTCATATACGCAGTCTTCCTCTCCACCTTGTTTGTCAATCCAGCTTATGGAGAAGATAACCGAAAAGCCCGAGGCTTATGCAGTTTCCATGGATCCCACGTTTGCAAGTTATTTGCAAAATGAGTTTCTCTCCTACGCATCAGGGAAGAAAGTACTACAAGACATTGTATTACAGAGGTATATTGGGTTTCAGTAGCTTTCACACCTTTCTCTAATCATATTTAATTCAAAGCCTTTATTGTGTTTTTTGTGTGTGTGTGCAGGAACATGCTTGGGTACACTGGTCTGGATGATCTTGCAGTAGCTTGCAAGGCCATGGAAGGTGTACAAGTAATCAATGGCCTTGAGTGCAAGATGTCTTGCTCGTCCTACAAGGTAACAATAGATACTGGTCTTCAACCAAACAACTGAGTTTTTGTGTTTTCAAAATCTAGCTCTTATGTTATTCGTAACATCTTGTGTTGTAGATTTCGTATGTTTTGGACACACAGGATTTCTTCCACAGGAAGAAGAAGCAGAAGAAGAGCAAGAACTTGTCACAGAAAAGAATAGAAAGATTCCACAAATTTCTAGCAGCTTCAAGATGACAACAACAAGAACAGCAAAACTTTCATCTTTTCTATTTACTTCAACACACAGGGAAGGTTAGAGTCGGACCAATTTCACTCTGCAACTTTCCCGGAGAACAAAATATGTGTCAATATTTTCTCGTTCCTTGCACAGTAGTGTGTATTTCCTAATTTTTATCTTGATTTAGTTAAAAAAAGATGTATGGCTGTAAATATTCGAGCCACATACATGGTTATGGTCTTGGTTTGTATCTACATAGACAGATTCAAAGGAGAGATGATTCTTCTTATATAAAATATAATTTCTTTAACTATGTAATCACTTCTCTTCAGAATTAATTCCTGAGGAACACAATGTCACAAACTATGTTTCTTCGCAACGCAGAATTAACCTGTTATGATCAAACTTAACCAGAACTAGCTAACTTTGTCAAAGCTATCCAAGATGGTTTTCCTAGCTATGATTCTTCTTGACTCTAAACGTTGCTTCGAGATCTCTCCCCCTCTCTAGCTTTTTATTCATCCCAGTACGAATATCCATGTCCTCTCACAACCCTTCTCACCTCAGGCTGCTTTAGAAAGTTCTCTTCTCTTTCAGGTTTCTTCACAATATCTCCTCTACCGAGACCCGAAACATTCCCTTTTGGATCTATTATCCGCTGCTCTGCATACAGTTTTCCCGAAAACCAGCTTTGAATCATATCTTCAACACTCCCATTTGGTCTCATACCCCTTTCCTTCATCTCTTTATAGTACTCATACGCTTCTTCTATTTTACCATTCAAGAACAGCCCATGTATCATCACAATGTATGAACTAAGGTCCGGACCAACACCCTTCTCCTTCATCTCATCCCACAACAATAACACATTATTGAAATCGCGCCACCTACATAATTTACGGATCAACATTATGTATGTATCCACAGTCGGTTCACAACCCATCTTTCTCATTTTAGCTAATAGCTCAAAAACCTCTTCTCCTGTTCTTAGAATCCGCATAAACGCATGGTATGTTCGGATAGTTGGGAAGAGTCCTTTCCCTAACATCTCATCGAAAACTTGTTTAGCCTCTTCGGTTTTTCTAGCCTTGCATAGAGGCTTGATGATAGAGTTGTAAGTAACAACATTTGGCTTTATCCCTTTCTCCTCCTCCATTGTCTTCATCAAATTCCTCGCCTCAGAGACAAAGCTAGCTTTAGCAAGAGCGTGAACCACCGCATTGTACACTTTTCTGTCTGGCTCTATACCCTCTTTCTTCATCCGATCGAAAAGTCTGAGAACCTTATTCAAGCTACCACCTTTCGAATAGCAAGACATCATGCATGAATAAGACACAACATCGTGTTTGACTCCGACATTTCCCATCTCCAACCAGACTCGTTCAGACTCCCGTGGGCTACCAATCACGTTACACCATCCATTAAGAACAATGTTGAAACTTTTGGCGTCAAACGGATAGGTAGTCTTATTACAGAAGATCAAATGCTCCGCATCTGAAACATTCTTGTATCTGCAAAGAGCAGAAAGCAAACTCTGAAAATCATCAATCCCCATTTCAAGTTTGAACCTTTTGTAGGCGTGGAACGTGTTAATGGCTTTCCCAACATCATGTACCGCACAGTACTTCCTAATCATGATCAAAAGTGTCTGTGAGTTAACAAGAGAAGGGCTGAACTTTCTCATCTCATCAATCAATGCCCAAGCTGTATCAAACTTCCTCATTTTACCGAGAATCGAGATCATAGAGTGATACTCACGAACCGAACGAACATAACCTTGCTGCTTCCCTGCCCAAACAAAGAAAGTAAAAGCAGCTTCCCAATCATTACGAGCTTGAGAAAGAATCTCCACCACCAACTCATTCGATGGCTTCACATCACATCCCTCAAGCTTGTCCCTCAGTTCCTTCCGGTCACTCCCACAATCTTTCAACAGCTTCGAAATCTTTCCAACATCCTCTGAAACAACCTTATCACTTATGATACAACCAAAATCGAGGTCAATCTCTTCCTCACTTTCATCATCCTTGTCATTATTACTCTGATTGAATCCTACTTGCTCCGAATCAACTTTGGAAGTAGAGAACAGAGAACAGAGACCCAAAGGAAGCACACAAGCTACGGGAGAATCCAAATGCGGTCTAACAATACATTTATCGCTCGGATTAAGCAAAACAACATTACTACATCTTAAGCAATTAACTGCAGGAGCCCTGAAGATCGATAGCCTTGACCTAATCAGAAAGGTTCCTCTCATTCCGCGAAAGAACAGTGGCAGCACAAGTTAAACCTTGCAAAGGAATCACAGGTCTTTTGTGATTCTACAGACCAAAGTCATTCACTTTAGCCAGGTTTTGAAATACCCAATCGATGATTTATATGGAATCAACCACATACAGATTATTGAATCCGACAAGTTCCTAAACTTGAAGAATATCACCGCTTTAAGCTGAAGAAGAGACTGTAACAGAAGAATCAGGAATGAGAGTGAGAAGAGATAGGCGCGTGCTTTTACATATTTGGGCTTCCTTTTGGCCCATTAAGTTGCCTTAACCTATTTACTTTATTTGGCCCATTTATACTCTTTTGTAACGGAACAATGTCTACAAACCCCCTAATTGTAACCCCATTAGCGTATCTCAATTTATTAATTTTTCTCACACACGCAGAGTGTCTTGCGATACAAGGAAACAATGATAATAAATTAAAAGAAGAACATCACTTTGATCTGTGTCGAGCCCATTTCTTTTTCTCGGTCTTCTTGTTGTCTGACTAATTAAGAGATAGGATTAGGGTTTGCGGTTCTTATAGAAAATAGTGAATTAGTTTGGACTAAATATAGGTGATAAGTGTATATTTCTCGTTAAGATTGTATTCTACTATATTCCTCAGAATATCTCTTGTGTATATTCGTAGGCTAGATCTCGTCTTATCACTCTCTATGTATATATATATATGTGTTGTATCTTCTTCATAATCAATACACAACAATATAGTTCTCTATTCTCTACATGGTATCAGAGCTCTCTTGTTAAACAACAACAGATTCTCTTTTTTTTTTCTCTCCAATGGCAAACCTACCTCCCGCTGCCTCTTCTAGTCTCGTTAATCCCACCGATCCGCAGTCTTCGCTCACTGCCCTCAACATGATCAACATCACTAAGTTGGGACCAACCAACTACCTCACCTGGAGCATTCAGATCAAGTCCTTACTAAAGGGCCATGATCTCGTTCGATTCATTGAGGACACCACGCCTCCCTCACCAACGACCAAGGAGAACAACGTCGATGTGCCAAATCCATCCTTCCTCACTTGGCAGCGACAGGATAGTCTCCTCTACAGTGCTCTCATGGGTACCATTGACACACCCCTGCAGCCGCTCATCGCCACCTGTGAGACCACTCGTCAAGCCTGGACCACCCTCGCCGGAACGTACGGGAAGCCGTCGCGGGGACACATCAAACAACTCAAGCAACAGCTCAAGCTTTGTGTTAAGGGCACAAAGGACATTGATGGGTACATGCAACTCATCAAAACCAAAGCCGATGCTCTCACACTCCTCGGCAGCCCTGTTGACAGTGAAGATCTCACTGACATCGTTCTTGATGGTCTCGGTGATGACTACAAACACGTCATTGAGTCGGTTCACAGTCGTGACATTCCCATCTCATTCGCTGAGCTGCATGAGAAGCTACTGAACCGGGAAACTGCTCTCACTGCTGTCCAGTCACAACAGTCATCCTTCCCCGTCACCGCTAATTACGTGCAGAACAAGTCTCGCAACTGGCGCAACAATAACTCCACCTCTGAGCAGCAGGCCAACGTGTCTCGTTCTCCGCAGCAGCAGCAGTCTTCTCGGCGCCCATATCTTGGAAAGTGTCAGGCTTGTGGTACTCAAGGTCACATTGCCAAGTACTGCCCCCAATTCAAGCTGATAACTCAGACGTCACAACCGTCTCACTCCAAGGGAGCAAGCACCTGGACTCCACGCGCATACAATGCGTCTGTGCTTCCGCCAGACCCCTCGGCATGGCTTCTGGACACCGGAGCAACACACCACCTCACCTCTGATCTCGCCAACCTCGCTACTCACTCTCCCTACACCGGCTCCGATGAAGTGATTGTCGGCAACGGCGAGAGCCTACCAATCACACACACTGGTTCCCTCTCTTTACCACACTCTCATCGTCGTATCTCCCTTAATAATGTTTTACGTGCCCCAGATATTGCTCGCAACTTGATCTCAGTACGTAAACTATGTGTTGATAACTCTGTCTCGGTGGAATTCTTTCCTGATTTGTTTCAGGTGAAGGATCTAAGCTCGGGGGCGCAATTAACCACAGGAAGGACGACTAATGGTGGATATGAATGGCCAGAATTTCAATTGGATGGATCCTCTGCTTCTGCTTTTACAATTTCAATAAAATGTCCTCTGCCTCTTTGGCATTCTCGTCTTGGACACCCTTCTTTATCTACTCTTAAAACAATTGTTTCTCATTACTCTTTGCCTGTTTCTAATAAAGATCCATCTCTTTTATGCAATGCTTGTTCAATCTCCAAAAGTCACAAACTCCCCTTCTTCTCCTCCACTCTCACCTCTAGCAAACCCATTGAACTCGTCTACTCCGATGTTTGGACCTCCCCCGTTCACTCTATCGACAACTACAAATATTATGTTATTTTTGTCGATCACTTCACACACTATATTTGGTTATATCCTCTTCGCCGAAAATCTGATGTTCTCGAGACCTTCACCCGCTACAAAAATCTTGCTGAAAACAAACTTCAAACCAAGCTCACCACTCTTTACTCTGACAATGGCGGAGAATATCTTGCTTTAGCCACCTACCTTGCCCAAAACGGTATCACCCATCTCACTTCCCCACCTCACACACCACAACACAATGGCTTCTCTGAACGACGGCATCGTCATCTTGTCGAAACAGGCCTAGCCCTTCTTTCTCATGCTTCCATTCCGATCTCCTATTGGAGTTATGCCTTAACCGCTGCAGCCTATCTCATAAATCGAATGCCCACTTCCACTCTTGCCAACTCCTCTCCTTTTGAATGTCTCTTTGGGATCACTCCTAATTACACCAAACTAAAAGTCTTTGGCTGCCTCTGCTACCCCTGGCTCCGGCCATACACCAGTCACAAACTTGAAGCTCGCTCATCTCCGTGCGTTTTTCTCGGTTACTCTCAAACCCAAAGTGCCTATCTCTGCCTCAATCCATCAACCAAACGAATTTTTATCTCTCGTCACGTCCAATTTCATGAGACTTCTTTTCCTTTTCAAAATCTTCCTTCCAGCCAAACACCTAACCTTCCCTCCACTCTCTGGTTTCCTTCGCTATTCCAACTTCCTGGCCACTCGAATCCACCGTCGTCAGCTGATCAGTCGCCCCTAGGCTCCGATCCTTCACCACCGGCGAATCCACCTCCGTCCGCAAACGCTGCTCCAGACAGCTCCGTGACAGAAACATCAACCACTGGGCCCGATTGTGGAAATACCCGAACCTCTTCCTTTGGGCTTGTTCCAGGCCCATCAAGCTCTCAGGTCATTACTGGCAGCCCAACACCAGCGCCCACTCCTCCGACTGACTCATCTTCTTCTCCGCCGTGCAATCAACACTCGATGGTCACACGAGCCAAAAACAACATTGTCAAACCGAATCCCAAATTTGCGATGGTTGCTACCTCTGCTCGTGAGACTGAACCAACATCCGTGGCTCAGGCGTTGAAAGATGATCGGTGGCGGAAGGCAATGCGGTCTGAATTTGATGCACAAGTGAAGTTTCAAACTTGGGATCCTGTCCCTCCTCACTCGTCGCAAAAATTGGTTGGCACAAAATGGGTTTTCCGGATCAAACGCCTACTGTCTGGTGAAATTGACAAGTTCAAAGCTCGCTTCGTCGCCAAGGGTTTTCATCAACGACCGGGAGTTGACTACACCGAAACCTTCAGTCCGGTAATAAAAGCGGCCACTGTTCGTCTCGTTCTCGGTCAGGCGGTGGATCGTGGTTGGGATCTACGGCAGCTTGATGTCAACAATGCATTCCTACAGGGCAAGCTCACTGAAGATGTTTACATAGCACAGCCTTCTGGTTTTGTTGATCGAGACAAAGCGAATCATGTCTGCAAGCTTAATAAAGCCCTTTACGGTCTGAAACAGGCTCCCCGCGCCTGGTACACGGAGCTACGCACATTCCTTCTCAAGACCGGCTTCACCAACTCACTGTGTGATGCCTCGCTCTTTATTTTGCTCCGTCCTGGCACAATACTTCTGGTTCTCGTTTATGTTGTTGACATTGTGGTCACAGGTAATAACTCCTCAGCTATTGATCGTTTCATCTCTCTATTGGGTAGTCATTTCTCCCTCAAAGACATGGGCGCTCTCAGCTACTTCTTGGGTATTGAGGCCACTCGATCTTCCAAAGGTCTTCTCCTCACGCAGCGCAAGTACATCACGGATCTCCTTGCTCGCACCAACATGTTGGATGCTAACCCTGCTCCAACTCCTCTGTCCGAAAACTGTGCTCTGCACCTTCACTCCGGCACGCCTCTCCCTGATGGTAGTCAATATCGGACTGTTGTCGGCAGTCTGCAGTACCTTCACTTTACAAGACCCGACGTTGCCTTTGCTGTGAATAAGTTATCGCAGTTCATGCATCGTCCCACTGATATACACTGGCAGGCTGCTAAACGTGTTCTGCGTTACTTATCCGGTACTCGTGATCAGGGAATTTTTCTTCGCCGCAACAACAACCTGAATCTACATGCTTTCTCCGATGCTTCTTGGGGGGAAAGATCAAGATACTTATGTGTCTACAGGCGCCTACATTGTCTACCTCGGCTCTCATCCGATTGTCTGGTCCTCTAAAAAGCAGAAAACAGTTGCTCGTTCATCAACGGAGGCTGAGTATAAATCTGTTGCAGACACAGCGTCTGAACTCTGTTGGGTGGTTTACTTGATGAAGGAGATTGGTCTTACTCCGTCTACACAACCAGTGATATACTGTGACAACATTGGTGCAACTTATCTCGCTGCAAATCCCGTTTTTCATTCCCGTATGAAGCATGTTGCAATTGATTATCACTTTGTTCGTCAACTTGTTGAGTCTAAGTTTCTTCGTGTCACTCATGTCCCAGCTGAAGACCAACTTGCAGACGCTCTCACAAAGCCGTTACCAAGACCGCAACATGAATTTTTGAATTACAAGATTGGGCTCTCCTCTGGTCGCTCATCTTGCGGGGGCGTATAGGTGATAAGTGTATATTTCTCGTTAAGATTGTATTCTAGTATATTCCTCAGAATATCTCTTGTGTATATTCGTAGGCTAGATCTCGTCTTATCACTCTCTATGTATATATATATGTGTTGTATCTTCTTCATAATCAATACACAACAATACAGTTCTCTATTCTCTACACTAAATATATGAGAAGTTTGGTGAGTCATTTAGTTTTTAGTATATGTTCACTAGTTATGAATATATTACCATGATGAGATTGTATAACTTTATAATTTTTTTTTTTATTACAAAAATATTTAAAAGTTTCTTTTGTGACATTATTTGAAAATCTGCAGATTTTGTTAGAATCAGATTAATTGATGTAAGACTTTTCATAAATTCATAAATTTATTGATTTAGTAAATCTTCTTAGGAAAAAAGGGGACACTCAGAGTGTCTTGCGATACAAGGAGACAATGATTTGGTCAACTAATTAAATTAACTAATATCAGATGCAGCCCTAACGAGTAATGCAATGGCCAATGTAGGGTTTCCCCGGGGAAAGGATCGATAAACAATCGTCGGCGAGGCCATTGATGGCATGGCAACAATCTTTACCCAAACCTTTAAAGTCTCCTTCAGTGACAGCTTTCACGGCATCGAGACAACCTTTCACCTTCTTGATGGGGGAGAAGCACTCATCTGGACTTGGTACCGGCGGTTGAGCTTCGGATTGATGACTACAAAGCAATGCCACCATCAGAGTTGAAAAGAAGAACATCTCTTTCATCTGTTTCGTTTCCATATTTTTTGTTTTTATCTAGAATTGGACAGGTTTTTTTAATAGATATTGTTGTGATCTCTAAGAAGTGGTGAAAGGAGTTTTTAGGCTTATTATAGAAAATGGTTGATTTTGAAGACTACATATGAAAGTTTTGGTGAGTCTTTAATTTTTATTAGTCATGTTATTTTAGTAATACAACTAGATTTTTTAGAAATCTCATAAATTGAAGTTGACTTTCATAAATTTATATTGAAAATTTTTATGGGAAAAAGAATGGTGTAGTAGAATTGGTTTCATGAATCTTCAGATGACAACTCTTTCTTGATCATCTTCGAGATCTCCAATATCTGAAACAAAATATAGAGATTACTTGTGACACAATCTATTTTCAAAATAGAGAGTTTAGCTTACATCTGAGTTTTTGCAGAGAAGCTGTGGGTGTTGATGTAATGTCCAAAGTGTTTTCTGAAGAAGTTTCACCAGAGAATCGACTTGATCTCCAAGAAGATCAACCTGCACTTTTTTCGCGGTTTCATATTGGATTACATAAGAATTCTCACAATTAAGAATGAATTCACACAAACTGTACTACCTCAGTTTCTGCCTTTGTGAGATTCTCAGACATAAGAACAAAAGCTGTCCTATAGACTGATTCTTTTCGTCTCAACGTTGCTATACAATCTATCTTTGAATCAATCTTTATCTCCAAGTCTTGTAACCTCGAAAATGAAACAAAAAGTTCATTACTTAAGAAGTTTTGCATTGTTTATTCCAGGAACCCTTTCTCTCTACTCACCTGAATGTTACCATCTTTAACTTCTCTTGAATCTTCAAACCAAATTTATCATAGACTAGAGACATTTCCAAGTAGGCTCTCTTTCCTTCTTCCTCAATCATTCTTTTATTGTTTGCTTCAATCTTTTCATGATTCTCCACAGTCTCTGAAACTTCTCTTAGCAACTCTGTTACAACCATCCAATTGAGTTCTTGTTTGAATTCTTCATCATCACGAAGAATCTCAAAATTTTTCTCCCAATTCAGGTTCTCTAAACAATCCATACACTTAAGCCCGGATTCGATCTTTTCACTCTTGATCTCTACTTCTTCATCTTCGCTCGCTTTTCTACTGTTTGTGTTCCCATCTGTTATTAGACCCTTGAGCAAAGCCAAGTAAGTATCTTCTAATATTAACAATTTCATCTCTGCATCTTCTTTCTCCTCTTTTTCATTGTCTGAAAACACTGATCTATTCTTCTGCATTTTCATCCAAACATCATCCAAATTGTCATCCGTTACCACCACTTCACGCTCATGATCATACCTATCAAACATATTTTCGAACAGCTTAGCGTTAAGACTCGTCAAGCTATCAAGACCTGCCACGATATCATCAATAGCTCGCTTCGAGCTAGAGCTGTTGTAGCTCTTCTGACGTTTAACAGACTCGATTTTGGGAGGAACAAGCTCTTCGCTCTTCCTTCTAATGATTGATTCATGACTCTTTATCAACTTCGAAACAGGAAAATTACTCGAATCTTTTCCTTCTTCTTCTTCATCGTCCTTTGCTTCTTTATCATCACCAAATTCAAAATTTACTGAAGCTGATGATGATATTGTTGCTACACATGATCTAGGAGATGATGATTTATTGATGATGATCTGATCAATCTGAGATTCTAAACACTCTACCTCTCTACGAATCGAACAAACCCGATTTTTAAAACCCGATTCATAATCTCTCACAACCATCATTACCTTCTCCATTTTCTCCTCTAAACCATTCATATAACCTTTTATCAGTAACGCCATTGAATCTCTCTCTATAGACCATCTCCAACTCTGCTCAATCGGACCTAATTCGGACAAGAATATAGCATGATGCATCTTGTTGAAAGCAAGATCCATTGTCCCTTTCAAAACATCGATATCAACCCCTGAAGGATCCTCTGTTTCTCCCCCTAATTCATTGTACTCTGTTTCAAGCTTCTGTCTAAGATTCATCACTTGCTGATCAACAGAGCTCTTCAGCTCTGAAAACTCATCTTCTTTGATAAAATCTCCAATCTTATTATGAAATCTCTTCCTCTCAAGATCTTGCAAATGAACCAACTCTGTTTCTTTACTCTCCAACACGTTTCTTAGACTCTCTTGGTTCTCAGACATCTCCAACAACTGCCTGTCTTTCTCAAGAATCGCTAACTCGGTCTCTAAGAGACGGTGGTGAAGTCTGTCTTTGATCTCTCTCAGATCGCGAACCACTTCCTCGTGGTTAGTCTCGAGTTTATCGGTCTCTTGTCTGACGAAACTAAGACAGCTCTCGAGCTGTAACACAGCGAGCTCGTAGAAAATGGAAATGGCGTTGAGACGGAGGAGAAGACCATGTTTGGTTTTAATCTTTTCATGAGCTTTGTCCATGGCTTCTTGAACAAGTAACATCATTGTGGAATCAGCCATTGAAAACTTCACTTTCCCTTCCACTTCCTTCATTACATCTTTCATCTTTCTACAATGGAGAGACCAAACTTATAAAATTCTTTACTCTTCTCATCTTTTGCTAACAAGAATTGGAGATTTCAGTTGACCTATTCTTGAGGATCTCAAAATACAAAATTCTCGGATTTGTTTACTAATATAAAATTTGATTATTTATTCTCTATATATGAAAACTAAAGGATCTTAATCTTAACATTAAACCAAAAATAAAATAAAAACAAAGATCTTGGAGCATTTTAACCGGAGTCTTTAAGCTTTGCTACCACCGTTCACGGTGGAGATGTAAGCTCGTTTCTTAATCCAATCCAAAACATCTCCGAAAACCAAATCGACGTTCTCTTCCGACTCTCCAATCAGCTGATGCCACATCCCAGAGTAAACCTTTAACGTCTTGTCTTTGCTACTGCATCTCCGGTAAAGCTCCTCGACGGAGGCGGGATCACAGACGACGTCTTCTCCACCGTGTACGATCATCAACGGGACTTCAACTTCTTCGAATCTGCTTTGAAGATCCTCGCAGACTCGTACGAGCTCGTATGCCGTTGCGGCTCGTGGCTTACCGGCGGTTCTGTTTGGGTTAGAGAAGGCGAGCTTACGTTTCCAGGGCTCCTTGAAAGAGACGCCGGCAATGGAGCCGCGAGTGGGGACGACACGCCAAGTGGGGATGAGTGTAGCAGCAATGGTTAAGAGGTGTTGTAACGGCCACGGAGGTTTGAATTTGTGGCTTATGGAACACATGGCGCCGCTGAGGATAAGACCGTTCCATTGGTGTTTCTGGCGGAGGGTAATGTAGAGAGCGATTGCACCACCGAGGGACTCGGAGTAGAGGAAGGAAGGGAGAGCGGAGGAGGTCGCGTGACGCTTACGGAAGTCATCAAAGAAGGAGATGCAGTCGTCGACGATTAGGTTGATGTTTGGGATGTGAGCTGTTAAACCGTCTGAGAAGCCGTGGCCTCGGTGGTCGATGGCGCAAGTGAGGTATCCGGATTTGGCAAAGAGGACTGAGGTTAGTTGAAGGAACCAGCTCGATTCACCTGTGAAGCCGTGGACGACGGCAATGAGGCCGAGTGGTGGACGGTTGAGTGGAGTCCACCATTGTGTGAAGAGTTTGAGACCGGAAGGGTTGGTGAAGTAGGCGGAGGAGTGGGCGACTGAGTGGCGAGAGTAGAATTCTGCAGCGGAGAGAGAGCCGAAGGGGCTTGAGGTGTTGGCCTCTGAGACTGGATGGAGTCCCATCTTTTTTTTGGGACCGTTAATGGTTAAATTTGTATATTTGAAGCAAAAAAAAATATAAAAAAGAATCCAATGCTTCTTGTGTGACATACTAAGTTACTAACCTACTGCTGCTTTTTCGGTTGGTTGCGTCTTCATATGAATTTCCTCTTTTTGTTTAACATGTTCTAAGAGTTAATTATTGTACCAATTTATTCAATAAATCAAACAAAACTCATCTACCATGTCTTTATCATATGTTCTGTCCAAATTAACCATACGGATAACATGTTTGGCTGCATGAAGCAATCGGGGTTGATACATCATACATAACTAAATCCTACCAGTATACTATATCAAAACGACTCAATACTTGGAATTTTCATATTTATAACAATATTTGATCCAAAAAGAGAATCAAGTTTTAACGAAACCCCGTGTCAAACCAATCTGTATAATATACTTTTGAAAATCAGCAATCACTATTCTTCTAAATAGAATTAAAAAATTTGAACACCGTTAATGTAACTACCATGATGGGTTTGGTGAAGTGGGTACACGTGAGAAATTCACCTAAATTACTCAACCACCTACTTGAAGAACATATTAGTACCAGTCAAATAAGTTTATTAAAACAGATTAATGAATAAAATAACAAGGATACACAAATAGCATTTGAAGACATCTATCTAGCCAATAAGAATGATGGAATTTATCTACCTTTCTAGTGATCCTTATTTTTTTTGCTTAGCTAACAGCCTAACACTATGTGCCATCTGGAAAACTATACCTAATTAGAAGAGCTCAAGGAGGTGGAAAACTATCTGGGCATTTAAACCTAACTAGAAAAACTTAAAGAGATGGAAAATTGCAGGGGACGTTGATAGGTAATAACTTAACGCTTAGATTAAAGAAATCAAAATGGGGGAGAAGAATATACATTGGTGTTTCTTTTTTTTTCTGTCTCCTTTTTCTGATTTTACAGCAATCCAACAACACAGCTGAGATGTAACCTATTCTCCAAACCTCTTAAATGATGTCCCAATAGCATGCACCTGAAACGAAACGAATCGTGAATGAGATCAACAAGCTCTGTTTTAGTTATTTACAGTCGTAAGAGGAGTTTGACTTTACCAGAAAAGGAGCTTTGCAAGGTAATCCCTGGAGGTGTCTACTTTTCTACCAGTTCCATCACCACCTTCTGTCGTCCTTATGCCAGAATTTTGCATGAAATTTGAAGTAGTCTGGTCTTCAAAGATTCTCTCGAATACATTTTGGACAAGTTGGTTCACGATCTCTTCCACTTCCGGTGAAGACAGTTGAGATAACTCAGTCACCTGTCAATATGTATGAATTCTTTTTATGAGAGAGAGAGGATATTGAGATAGAGAATAAGAATCAAAGAGGAAACCTCAAAGTTTAGTACCATCTTGGGATCGAGGGAACGCAAATAATCCAACAAATCATTCTTGTTTCCTTTCTCACATTCTATTTGTAAAGCCTTCTTCTTTTGTGAATCTAGCTCCTGAAATAGAGTAAAATAAGTATTACGGCTTAATGTTTCATGGAAACAGAATCAGACTTGACCAATGTAGACAAATAATTCAAACATGAGGAAGACAAAGACCTTCACAAGCCAGCACAGCTAATCCGATAACAGACACTAGTTCGATTACGACCAAAATTCAATTTAGTTCTCCGCAACTAAACTAGAGCAAAATAAAGACACAGAAAGGAGAGATACACACTCAATTACCTCTTTCATGGTAGATAACTCAGACTGCAAATGCTGAATATAACTCAACGCTTCGGTTGACAAGTCTCCAAAGACCTGAGGACTCAATCTCTCTAATTCCTCAACACAATTCCCTAAATCCTCACTCACTCCCTTCTCGGAACCAAATCTTACATCGTCTTTCAAAGATTGATCCTCCTCCTTTCTAGGATCAGTCGGTATATCAAAATTCCTCCTTAGTGATACACGATACTCCGCATTCCACAACGTATACCTAAAACCACACACGAAGCAAAATCGCTAAATCCACACTAGTTGCAAAACATATATTTAACAAAATTCGCATCAGAGAGATTAAAATTTGAAAAATATATACCCGGTGATGATGGAAGAAATGAGGAGACGATAAAGAGGCTGCTCGGAGATGGTAACGGAAACGGCGAATTGATCGGAAGGAAGGAGCCCAAGCATAGAAGAAATCGTCTGCTTCATAGAATCCTTAGCTGAATCGGATAAGCCTTTGGAGATAACAGACGTATCAAGCGGCTGGATCCGATTCACCAAATTCGCGATCACAGCGAAACCTCGATCCAGCTTAGAACGACGAGTAGACACATACGAATCGTCGGAGGAAACTCCACCACCGCTGAGACAGCTGATTACAGCAGAGGAAGACGACACCGCACGATTCGGAGCACAAGGTAACCGGCGAGGAGACGATGGTGGAGGTTGGTGAAGGATTAGCTTCTTCTTTGATAAGTCCGTAACAGGAGAGAGCATGAAAAAGGCTCGTGCTGATGCGGCCGCCATTAATATTGAGCGTCTCGAGCTCTGTTTTCTTCTTCTGTTTCTCTCTCTCTCAGAGCTGTGTGGCTGCGTGATATGCGTTGGGTATTGGAAGAATCTTTTTTTTTTTTTTTTTCAATTGTTTCCTTAAATATTTTTTTGATAATTAGGATTTATTTTTGTTTTATGTATAATTATTTTTTTGTTTAGAAAAATCTTCCTTCGTTCATTTTAGTGATCTGAGAGGCCCACTAAGCCTAGATTTTGGTCTTTTCTCGTGTTTGGTCAGAGTTAAATATTAATTAGATAGACACAGACACAATCATCTCTTAAAACGGAGACTCACGGTCACGAGCCCTTGTAAGAATATTTTTACTCAGACCACTACTAGTAGAAGTTTCTAGAATCCCATCGAAGCCAACTAGTACACAATATACCATTTTTACATGGTAATGACGAATTCTCTAGTGGAATTATATTTCCGGACAATTTGACTTGCTTCTTCAAGTTTAGAAAGGTTAGCCTTTCTTCAATCCAATTCAGCAGCAGTTACCATAAAAATCGAACCATACCAAACTATAAAAGCTAATTAAAATTTGCACATTTTTGTTTTGAACTGAATGTAACATTGAGTGAATCTAAAAACAGATTTCTAATGAATCCATCTGTTTTACACATTCAAAAAATGAAAAACCAGATGGAATCATTGGAGATCTTTTTTATGTTGAATACAATTTTCACATTCAATTAAAACAAAAAAAAAGGTGCAAACTTCAATCGCTTTTTTGTAATTTGGTACGTCTGCACGTTTCAGAATTCCTTTCAACATAGATAATAGCATCGAAAAGACGAAAACTGTTTTGAGCAATTGTATAAAATGGATTACACAATTGGTTTTCCATAAATTAGCAACAAATAAGTAACGCTAGAAAACTAAACGGTCAGCTACTTTAAAGTTATTTTTGTAAAATATTCTACAAAAACCAAAAAGATAACGCTCTGATTTGCAAGTAAAAATAATCTCAACTGTACGAGTTTTTTTCCTGTAGTTTTTAACGCAAAAGAGCACTAAATTTTGGCTTTTGATCAGAGTACTGAAGTAACGCCGCAAGTTTATTTACCTTATTAAGTCATTTCCGACGAAACTCTTCTTGGCATGCCTCAAAAGTCTCTTTGTAATGCGCAAGAAGACCAAACAACGCTGTTCATGAAACAAACTTTCATTTGTAAGAAGTCCCCACATGATATAAGGATAACTCAAAGAAGAGAGTAGTTATTTTACCAGGATTGCAGTACTGCGGTTGGTACAGAGAAGAAATGGTCTCGATAAATCCAAGTCTTAGCCTAATGTTGTTCCCTATGTTGTTCATCCCAGAAGTACCTGCGGGAGTGGATGATCCAAAGGCAAAGTTCTTCACGTCAGGGTTCTCGTCATATGGTTCTTCCTTGATAACACTGCTTGTGTTTTGATTCCCGTAATGCTTCCTGTCTTTAGAACACTCCGCTTTGTTTCTCTTTGCGTTAAAGTTTGTCAGTTCAGTCCCAAACGCTCGCTTCTTAGGCTCACTACGATCACATAAGCTTGCAGAAGCGGTAAGGAATCTGTTTACAGATATGGCTCTGGCTCCCAACCACCTATATGCTGTCTTCTTCTCTGGAGTATGAGTCTGCATGTATAGTATGAACATAAGAAAAGTTAAATTAAAAGTACAATAAGATGTGAGATTAGAATATTCAAGATTCCTATTATATCTGCACAGAAACAAGCTAGTATTTGGTACCTTCTCAATCAGATTCATTGAGGAAAACACATTTGCAATGTCGTAAAGGCGTCTAACTTTAGCTGCAGAGAGTTTACAGAAATGGGGTTTGGTCATTGCTTCTGTATATAATAATCAGAGATCAAAAAAAGGTTAAGAGAAGGAATTAGGATTACTTCTCATATTCAAGGGGTCCTGTGAGTCATGCAGCAATGCTTTTGTAGCCTCATCGAGAGTTATTAGATCATCCTGATGGCAAAGTAGGAACAAGAGAGGTGTCAACTAATTGCTGATTGGTCACAAGTTGTATAGAGAGATATAATAATACTTATTCACTTACATCAGAGCATAAGAAAAGCTTCACAAAGTTCTGTGAAAGGTGCCAGAGAGATCTCTCCTTCTTGCTGTCTAAAACATTGGCAAACAGAAAAGGTTAGGCTTCCAACACGAATCTTATGCTGGAAACGTTTCACTTGATAGAGCATTCTTATGCAAAATTCACTACTATCAAGGACATGTTTCCATTCGTAAAGGAATCTAGATCGAAAGTAAATGAATGGACAAAATAGGAAAAAGCATAGAGTAATACTACTAAAGCCTTCACGAATCAATGATGTTATAACATAAGATCATTACCAAGTTTAGGGGATGGTGAGTTCTCTTGATCCTCAGGAGTGAACTCGAGAGATTCTTCTCTTTCTTTCTCATACAAGACCTGTTCAAATAAGAATCTAATGTAATCCACTTCATTGATGGTTTGACATAATCAGAAACACAACTTCAGTAAACCATCCAACAGAAAGTATCAACAGCAACAGAGTCTGAAATATGAAGTTACCATCTCAGATTTGGTCACATAAGGGATGATCCCAAACTTCTCTCCCATTCCTTGCCTCTGTAAAACACAAACCATTTTCAAAACAAAACAATCACCCAAAACCTAAAGAAAGACAAAAAATAAAAGCCATATAAGATTGATTCGTTGTTTTTAAAGTACTTTGAGTTCAGTGAGAGCACGAGGAACTTCTCCAAAACCTCTCCACGAATACTGATTCTTCCCTCTTCTCGCAACAAGCTGCGTAAAGAAAACGAAACACACCACACAAAATCCTAATCAGCTCAAATAAAATCAAATCCTCAATCAGACAGCATCAAACATCATCAACATCAAATGTTTTACCCCAATACTCTCAAGTATGTTGACCACATCATATATACGCCGACGTTCAACTCCTACAATTCGAGATGTATCAACAAAAATCAATTAGTCTCATCTATTGAAATCAACTCTCACAAAGCCTGAATTTTTTCATTTTATTTTAATCAATTGAAATATGCATAATATATTATATCCAAAACCCAATCGAACACGAAATTATAGGGAAGAATTAAAAAAAAAAAAAAAACAATCACCTAAATATCCGGCGGCTTCATCGAGCCCAATCAAATCACCAACGTCGCGATTATACAGTCTCAGGAAACTGAAATAAATGGGAAAATATAAATAGAGTAGAGATAACAATTTCAACGGAAACGTGAAAAACCAAAGGAAACTAAAAATCTGATCAGAATCCGTAAGAGAGAGAGATGAGTGATGAATAATACTTGGAGACTAGAACTCCGAGAGATTTCTCCTTGCGGCAGTAAGGCTGGAGACCGAGAGAATCCATTTTCCTGAGACAAAGACAACAAAAAGATGTTTTCTGAATGAGAAGACGAGATTTATATAGGCGAAAGCGAGAGGGTAACACAAGAGCTGTGTTTGGATCTGAGCTTTGTTGTGACCTCAAAAAACAAAACCACTTTTATGTAATAGGCGGGTTCTTTTCAAATTAGGAAATACTTTTACCGGTTTAATGCATTGCCTAACTTTAGAGTTTTTTTTCTTTTAATTGTTTTACTTTTTTTTCGTTAAGTAATTTGAAGATAGTAATTTTAACTAGATTTTAATTTTTGAGAAAATTTATTATATGTATCTACCTAGTTAGAGTTTTAGATGAAGCACATTTATTGTTAATTTACAAAAAAAAAATTGTATAAAAAAGTAGAGACCCTAAAAAGTATTGTACAACTTTCTAGTTTTTCTTTGGGGGTTTTTAGAAATTTTTTAATTTCTTTCGATTAAATAATTTCGCACGCAATATGTGGATGTTACATTTAGTTTGATTTTAAGTTAGTATATGTTTATACCTAATTTCTAATAAGATATACCTTTTTTTATTAGATAACTAGAGTTTTAGATAAAACAAATTTATTTTTATTTTTCAAAAATATCATACATAAAAATATTGTATAATTTTACAGTTTATTCTTATTTTTTACTTTTTCGGTTAAGTAGTTTCGCACGCAAAATACAAATATTGATTTATCTTTTTATTAAATAATTTCGCGGACGATATACATATGCTACATTTAATTTGATTTTTACTATTTGTGAAAGTATAGTATATGTATAATTTTTATGGCTAAAATGTTGGTTTTATATGGTCTTTATATATATGTATATTGTAAATATGTCAAAGTTTCTTCTTCAAAGTCAAGATTTTCTTTTTTATCATTCGTGGTCTAGTATTTCATTTTCATGTGCTCTTAGAAGCACATTTATTGTATTTTATTTTAAAACGATATTATGTAATCTTAAATACATGTCTATGTCATATGAACAAAAAGGAAATATACATTTTGTATTAAAAAAATGCATATTAAGAATTAGCAGAAATATTCATACTTTTGCGTCATTGTCACTTTCATCGTCATTAATAAATAAAGTGTTTAAATTTCAGTGATGATCTGCATTAAGTGATATGCATTACTACATACAGTAATAAAAAAAAGAAAGTGGTACAAAATTTCTGATCACGAAAAAAAAGAAGAGCGAAATTAACCTTACGAGTAAAAGACAAAAAACACCATGACCAATAACTCGAATTTACAAAAGACCAAACACAATTTAGTAGAAAAGTCCATCGAATCTAAAAAGAAGACGGACCATCCGCTTTACACATATATATGATGAACTCAGACCCAAACAAGCCAAAAAGACCGACCACTTAGAAACGACGTAGTTTCATTCGTTAGATAGGAAAAAGAAAAAGGAAAAGCCTTTGGACATTCCGAGGAGGAGAGAACAAGATCATGCCGTTCTCCTCCTACATCGGCAACACCCGCCGTAGCTCCACCGGCGGAGGATGGGGTCACTCACTCCTCCCTACAGCCTTATCGAAGTCGAAACTAGCCATGAATCGAAAGCCACGAAAACGAACAGTCCTAATGAATTTCTTATTCGCAAACTTCTTCGTCATCGCACTCGTGGTCTCGCTCCTCTTCTTCTTCCTCACACTCTTCCACTTCGGCGTACCTGGACCGATCTCCTCACGGTTCCTTCCCACCAGATCCAGTCGGATCGTGAAGCTACGGAAGAATATCTCTCGACGACCCTTGAACGATTCCAATTCCGCCGCCGTCGTTGATATCACTACTAAAGATCTATACGATAGGATTGAGTTCCTTGATGAAGATGGTGGTCCTTGGAAACAAGGTTGGAGGGTTACGTATAAAGGCGATGAGTGGGACAAAGAGAAGCTCAAAATCTTTGTTGTGCCTCACTCTCACAACGACCCTGGTTGGAAATTGACTGTGGAGGAGTATTATCAGAGACAATCCAGGCATATTCTTGACACCATTGTTGAGACTTTATCTAAGGTATGCCCAAAGTTTTTTGCTTTTTGTTTCCTTATTAAGTTTTATTCTCTCCCATCAACACCACGATTATCCCGTGATCAATCTTTGTGTGCCTAAAATTTCTCATGACGTCATTAAACTCTTAACCAACTTCTTTGCTGCATTCTGTTTCTGTATTTTCGTGTTGAAACAGAGTTTTAAGCTTGGTCCAAAGCTTGAATTTTTAAGCCCATTCTTTTAAAAACTGTAGTGTCTGGAGCTAAAGCTAGAATTTTTTTAGTTGTGGCTTTTGAAAGTGGAGGATACTTTTAAGTATTGCAGCCAGATATTCATAGTTTTTGTAATAGTAGGATATGAGTGTTTTATTGATCTTGTTCTTGGTTTGAATTGGATTTGTCTTTCACTCTTGCATATATTTTTTCCCCATTTAGCTAGAATCTGATTTGAGTGGGGTTTGTTTTGAATCTGTTCAATAGGATTCCAGAAGAAAGTTTATATGGGAGGAGATGTCATATCTGGAGAGATGGTGGAGAGATGCTTCACCCAATAAACAGGAAGCTTTGACTAACTTGGTCAAGAATGGGCAGCTAGAGATCGTTGGAGGTGGCTGGGTAATGAATGATGAGGTATGTTTCTGACTTGTTTGGTTTTAAAAAGAAGGAATGGTTGTTTAGTTCCATGCCATTCCTATGCTGATTGTCTTGATCAATATGTATGTTACTGAGTTTCTTCTTAATGTTACCTGCAGGCTAATTCACATTATTTTGCCATAATTGAACAGGTATGTACAGCATCATGTGACTTTCCAGTTTTATGCATTTAATTGTCTGCTCATGTTTGTTTTTAAAAAAATATAACACTTAATGAAACAGAGATGATGATTGACGACTGAAACAAAGATGATTACTGTTTTCTGCACTTATTTGTCTGCTCATGTTTGTTTTTAAAAGTATAACACTTGATGAATCAGAGATGATGATTGACGACTGAAACAAACATGATTACTGCATTTTCACTTAATGTTAATCCATTTAGTGTGTATTTATTATGTAACATATGGTTGGTTATAGTTTGTCATTACCTAATGCTTCCTTTGAGCTGGAAACCCTCTCTTTTTTGGTTATGCCTATAAGAACGTGTGATGTTAGAATGTCAATTGGCTAGAGATAATGCTAGTTAATCAGCCGCTTGTTGCATTGTGTTCCTATCATGTGTTTTTTTCTTTTCCTTTTTGGGTAAAGCATCTTGCAGGAGTTAGGATTCCAGGTTTTCCAAGTGTAAACCATATTTTATTCTTTTACTGGCTGTGCTCTTTGTATCTAATTTTGTCTTGACCACTTCTTCTGCAGATCGCAGAGGGTAATATGTGGCTGAATGACACAATTGGGGTTATTCCTAAGAATTCTTGGGCCATAGATCCATTTGGCTATTCATCAACCATGGCTTATCTCCTCCGCCGTATGGGTTTTGAAAACATGCTTATTCAGAGGACTCATTACGAGCTTAAGAAAGACCTTGCACTGCATAAGAATCTGGAATATATTTGGCGTCAGAGTTGGGATGCTATGGAAACAACTGATATTTTTGTTCATATGATGCCTTTTTATTCATACGATATCCCACACACCTGTGGGCCAGAGCCTGCAGTTTGCTGTCAGTTTGATTTTGCTCGGATGCGGGGATTTAAGTATGAACTTTGTCCATGGGGAAAGCACCCAGTGGAGACCACACAAGAAAATGTGCAGGAGAGGGCATTAAAGCTTCTGGATCAATACAGGAAAAAATCATCCCTGTATCGAACAAATACCCTTCTGATACCTCTTGGAGATGATTTTAGGTACATCAGTATTGATGAAGCCGAAGCTCAGTTTCGTAACTACCAAATGTTGTTTGATTACATCAACTCTAATCCTAGTCTAAATGCAGAGGCAAAGTTTGGTACTTTAGAGGATTATTTCAGAACAGTCCGAGAAGAAGCTGACAGAGTTAACTATTCTCTTCCTGGTGAGGTTGGCTCTGGTCAGGTTGTTGGTTTCCCTTCTCTGTCAGGTGACTTCTTTACATATGCAGATAGGCAACAAGACTATTGGAGTGGTTATTATGTTTCAAGGCCTTTCTTCAAAGCTGTTGATCGTGTGCTTGAGCATACTCTTCGTGGAGCTGAGATCATGATGTCATTTCTTTTAGGTTATTGCCATCGAATTCAGTGTGAGAAATTTCCAACTAGCTTTGCGTATAAGTTAACTGCTGCCAGAAGAAATCTAGCTCTTTTCCAGCACCATGATGGGGTAACTGGAACTGCTAAGGATTATGTGGTACAAGATTATGGCACCCGGATGCATACTTCATTGCAAGACCTTCAGATCTTTATGTCTAAGGCAATAGAAGTTCTTCTTGGGATCCGCCATGAGAAAGAAAAATCTGATCAATCCCCGTCATTTTTTGAGGCAGAGCAAGTGAGATCAAAGTATGATGCTCGGCCGGTTCACAAGCCAATTGCTGCACGGGAAGGAAATTCACACACAGTTATACTCTTCAATCCATCGGAACAGACGAGGGAGGAGGTAGTGACTGTCGTTGTTAACCGCGCTGAAATCTCGGTACTGGACTCAAACTGGACTTGTGTCCCTAGCCAAATTTCTCCTGAAGTGCAGCATGACAATACCAAACTATTCACCGGCAGACATCGCCTTTACTGGAAAGCTTCCATCCCAGCTCTTGGTCTGAGAACATATTACATTGCTAATGGGAATGTAGAATGTGAGAAAGCTACACTGTCTAAACTTAAATACGCTTCTGAGTTTGACCCATTTCCTTGTCCTCCTCCATATTCCTGCTCCAAACTGGACAGCGACGTTACTGAGATCCGAAATGAACATCAGACTCTTGTGTTCGATGTGAAAAACGGATTACTGCGGAAGATAATCCATAGAAATGGATCAGAGACTGTCGTGGGAGAAGAGATAGGTATGTACTCCAGTCCAGAAAGTGGAGCTTACTTGTTCAAACCAAATGGCGAAGCTCAGCCAATTGTTCAACCAGGTGGACATAT